TATTTGTATCTTTCTTTTCTTAAGATACAAATGTATTCGTAACACATACATAAAAATCTCTCTCTCTCAGCATAAAAATTCTTCTCAATTAAAATAATATATAGTCTAAATTATTAATGTAATTCGACTTTAATGGAAGTAACATAGTATTACATGATAGTATATTTTGCGAATAAAGGTCTCCGACAGCTCGCACAACAATCCTGATGCGTAATCCCGCATGGCAGCTCGTAGGATTGCGTAATTTCGCTGTAATGTATTCTGTGGATACGTCGAATTTGCACCGGCCGGGCAAAACAACGTACGTGTAAGGTTCATCAACCTTCACCCAGCGACACACTCTCGCCGGCTGGGACTTGGTCACGGATGCGATCGATAACAGGGCGTTTCGTCGACGTTTCGAGAAACTCGCGCTCCAGGCTGCACACACACCTGCGTGCACCCCGGGGCTCGAAAACGCCCATCTAGCCCCCGTGGTAAAAAGGTATGTCTACTTGCAGTATTGTCGTGCCACAAGTGTCACAGGGCAGATCGTTGCAAACCGGCTACCCACTCGACCGGTTGGCCGACTCCGCGCGACCGGAATTCAAAATTTTGAGATCCAAGCCCGTCGGTGTCCCGACCCGGCTGCAACATCATTCTCGACACGACTGCCGAGTTCAAGGTCGCGCAGTACCGGCGAAGCAACTAAAATTAGTCCAGCGGGCAGGTTACCTACGCGCTCGCAGAAGCACGACGCCGCGGACAAGAGGTCGTTATTTATGTAGCGAGTTGATGAGGGTAAACCGCGGTGCCGCGACGAGTAGAAAACTTTACAGCGAGAGCTTCCAGGGAGAGAATATTGCGACGCAGCGTCTCTTTTCCTTTCCCTCTCGGCAGATCGAAGTTCTGCGCGGCACGATTAGGGTGGGGCAATTTTTGTTCCATGTTGCGTAATAGATGTTCACCCTTGCACGAACACGCATTATCCTGGCAGTGCAGTGAAGTCTAAACAACTTATTATGTTTAATATAGATGAGGATGCGAGGGAAACTGTCTAACTTTACACAAAGCTATTATTTATTCTGCCGCATTGTAAGCTGTATATTTTGGTGCAAAAAAAACTTAACTATACGATTATTATATATAGCATAAGGCTGTTATAATTTACACTAAGATATTAATATCAGTCGCAAGAATTATAATGTAGAATTTTTTTATAACTTGGAACGAAGAGTGGTGGTTATATTAATCTTCATTGTGTAATTCCTATTTTTTTCGCTGACAATACAATCGTGGAAAGGGAAATAATGGATGAAATGTATAATGTATAATCGATGCGTTTATTTTGCTGGATCGGAGACTGCGAACATTTGCGCACTTTCTATACGTTATATCTATAACTCACTTCGTGCATCTATCGATTAGCTACTGCAGCTGAACCTCGAATGTTCTGGAACAAGACGGAAACATCTAAACTGCAATATCTGCGTTTATAACGATTTGTTGAAATATCTGATAAACTTTTTTCTTTTTTACTAAAATCTTTTCAAGGCAAACAGCTGCACATTATTATTAATTGCTAATGTAAGTTATTAAACCTTAAAATATATATCTAGAATAGATTAATCTAGACGTCTTAAAAAATCTAAAATACAAAAAGCATTCAAAGAGAAGATTATAGGAGTATAAGAAATGCGCAAAATTAGACAGTATAATATGTCGTTAGACATTAAAAAATTTGCCAGCAAACACAAAATCACGTATCTTTTGTTAGACCCCTATTCTGTAACTCGACTCTAACGATATCGTTAGTGACATTACAAGTTATAGAATAGGGGTCTTTGGGACCTATTTTGTAATTCTTAACGACCGTAACTGTAACGTTACAGTGTCATTTCGCAGCTTTTTTACCATGTACAAAATTTGCTCAACGCTACAGTTACAGTCGTTAAGAGTTACAGAATAGGCCCTTTAGTTGTACTTTCTCGCTTAACAATATAACTGTAATATATAACACACGTGTTATATTGTAGAGAGAGTTGTTGAACGGGAAATTATAATTAACCATACGTTACACGTAACTTTGCTGGGCTAATATATAGAATGTATCATATACACTTGAAATTCAACGTCTTCTATATACTTTGTATTTATTGTTTGAATTATTTGCAGAGCTATATCACCTCCAGGAAATCACTCGCAATCAGAACGTAAAACCACATAAAGACCACAGGTTTCTTAGCCGTATCGCTCGTTCTAAATTTACTTGCGAGAAAAACACGATGAATAATGAATTTAAACTAAAATATTCGAAGTATATACATCAAATTATACACGAAATTTCTCAACTGTAAATGTGCATTAATTTTTAATTAATCTTTGTCTTTTGAAAATGATTTATAAAATGATAAAAATAATTTCTTAAGATTAGAAAAAGCATGCTCTCAATTTTCTAACTATAGTTTGGATTTCCTAACAAGTTGATTTGTTTCAGAGACCTATTAAGAACGTAAAAGAAGATACATCGGTGGAAAGATGTACTAATTGAAAGTATGTTCGTTAGCGCGATGTTCGCTAACTGTATACCATTTTCGTTCCGACAAGATCGGTAAAAAGAGAGACATGTCGTTGAGAAAGTTCCCACAGATCATCACGCCGTTCCCATTTAATGCAACATAGTTGGCAACCGTCTACCTTCGCATTTCATTACACCGCTCTGAATGACACCTGAATGTAACGAGGTATCGCACAGCACATTGTGCATATTTCTATGAAGTATACAAGTAGTTCCGTTCACCCTTCCATTCGAGCCTAATCCGCTAGCCGTTGTTAACGGCCGACAAAAAGACGATCTGGCAGGGAGAGAGATAACTATCTGACGCGCGCGCGACCCTCATATATTTCTGAATAAAATTGCATTAATTGCGTCTACTTAAAAAGGAGCGTCTTTTGTGATACGTTCGGGCCGGGCTAACGAGCGATATGAAAAGGAAATCGATAGAGCGGTACATGATACACCGAAAGAGGAACGAACGTAATATTATGCAACCCGGTTGTAACGTCGCTATTATACGCCGTTGCCCGACGCGACGGTCGCGCATCGTCGAAGCCGTTGCAATCTATAATGCGAGCGTAAAGATTCATTTATCTTCCTATCTTTTTTTCTCTTCCATAATTACGCGTCTTCCAGGCGAAGATCGTCTCTGCGACCTACATTCGCCGAACATAACGAGACGAGTATTATATATTGCTGGCGTTATGTTACGTAATATTTGCGTCTCTCCGATTGTCGCCGGCGATTTCGTGTTTGCGTCGAAATTGCTCATTCTCACGCTATCGGCTGTGCCATGCGTGAGTCAACCCGGTCGTCGTGTGTTTGCAAATATAATACGCGTCACCGGCCGGGTCCCGACCGCGCCTCAAAATCTCATAAAAATAGCTGTCGTTCGCCTTAAGAGCTGATAAAAAAAACTACGTCGGAACGGCAGCAAGGTCACTCGGAGCTGCCTGCGCAGTACGGAAATCCCACCACAAACGCTTTCTAACCGAAGAAACTACGTTTCAATGTTCGGCGTGGTACACACACACACGCACGCACACACACACACACACACACACACACACACACACACACACACACACACACACAACACACACACATGTGCGCGCGCGCGCAATTTCGCAATGTTGGGTCACGCCGCATGGCATCCCTTCTTTCTTCCCTACAAATTAACGTTTACAAAATATTCTCGAAAACAAACTTCTAATCTGTCCACTGACGACAACAAGTATTTCTCTCTCTCTCTTTGTCTCTCTCTCTCTCTCTCTCTCTCTCTCTCTCTCTCTCTCTCTCTCTCTCTCTCTCTCTCTACTTCTTTGCTAGCGATAACAGAATCCTCATTATCGTACGTTATAGAATACAAATTGCGTCACACCTAGAACGCCGCCTTCGGTCCATATAAATCAATCATTCTGCGAACATAATCCCTTCCGGAGTAATAATTCGGACGAAGTTCGTCCCAAGATTCCACGCGAATTAGGTCATTATAGTAGTAATTTTACTACGCAGTAGGTTCCATGATCATTTTTTAAATCTGGCCCTCCCGCAGATTTTGCCGTCAAAATACAAAACAAATCGATGCGTACCATACAGTCGCACGAAGCAGCCGAGAAGGCAACGCTACATTATACAAGCGGTATTATATCACACACCGGTTGACCGTGCTAATGGTGCGGGGGTGAACAGGGGGAACGGCGGCGTTCTCCTGTGTGGGTTGGATGATATGGTGGGGCCTCTTTGGCTGAGCTGAGCGAACGTGCCAGAAATCCCGTCGTCCCTGCCGGCCGGGGACCGATCAATACTTGGCATTTGCGAATTTCTCGCTTATAACGTGAAAAAAATGCATCGGACGACGCACCAATCGACAGATTTCGTCACGACGATACCGATTATTGCGGTCCCGGATGGGACCAAGTATCGCTAGGACCTGAAACAATCGGTCATAAGGAATTGCGCATTATGTGACGACGCGGAGTAAGGACGCGGTGATCTCGAAGCTTCCTCCGCTTTGCGGCGACGCGGCGCGTACCTATATAAACCGGCCGGCCGGCCAGCCGCGGCGCATTCGTAAACAAACCCTGGTTCAGTTCGGACGCTGCGAACACCCGAAGACCCCCTTCACCCTCCATCATCAGTGTAACACACTTCGGCTTCTTACTTCGTCGAGACCGCCGGCACGGGAAAATGTAGGCGAGCGGGCACCACGTGCGGAGCGCGACAGTTTACCGTAGGTATTTCCCGATTTCGGGTTTTCTTCTTCTTTTATTTTTCGCGAAACTCCAATACGATTGTTTAATCCATTGATTTAACTAGATTTAGTGCATTATATTTTATCACGGTAGTTTTTTTTATTATAATAAGACTGAAGATGTAGAGAGGAGGAAAATAATTCATTTCGCTATATAGATAGTGCAATTGAAAAGTAGTCGTATCAAGGAAGATGAGCGTACAAAACTATGACGCTTAATGCTTTGGTGTTTCTTCTTTTTAATTGGCAGCCTCAAAATTTCAGTTATACACACATATAAATTATATTATTTACTATTAAACTTGGTTTCTTTCATCAAAATAATTTTAATCGAAGAAATGGAAAGGAGAAAATTATTTTGCTATATTGATAGTACAATTGGAAAGTAGTAATATCAAGGAAGATGAGAGCGTACCAAACTGTGACGTTTAATGCTTTGGTGTTTCTTCTTTTTAATTGACAACCTCTAAATTCCAGTTATACACACATAAATTATATTATTTGCTATTAAACTTGGTTTCTTTTATTAAGATAATTGTAATTCAGATTTGTCTCTTGAAGATCTATTAGTTATTTCTCTGTTTGAACTAATATCGGAAAGAGACAATGAGAGAGAGTCGGTTAAATCGAAACTAAAATTAACTCTCTTGATAAAGCTACCAGATAATTTTGATATATTAGAAATTGAAAACAAACAAAAACTTTACGTAATTGATAACAAACGATGTAACGAAATATTTATATTGTACATAAAAAATTATATCTTCGTGAAATAAATATTAGAAAATTATTAGATGTGGCACAATACTGTCATATTACAAAATTGTTTTACCATTACTAGAATCGAGAAAAGAATGAAGTGAATGTCGGAATGAAAGTTTCGGACAATAAATTCTTCAGTTGGTGGTAGTGGTGGTCGTAGTAGTAGTAGCAGTTGTTTCGACGGGAACCGGCTTGGCAGCTGGTATTCCCGTTTGAACAACGCTGATGACTCTTTCCGTGCCAGCCGGCGTCAAGTTCTGAAAATGTAAAATAAGCGTTGGTTACGTTACTCGATAAATTATGAAAGCTATGTGTTTGTGTTTTTTAGTGCACCCTACGGGGTCGGTGCTTGAACAATCCGTACACGACGATAATAGCTGTGATTAGAATTTGAAATTCCTTCACGCTTGGAACAAATATGAGAAGAGAACTTCAAGATATAGGTAAGCGCATAAGGTGTCTAGACACGATAATAATATATACATTAAGATAATAGGATTATATCTATGGACGATGAATTAAAAGAGTTAAAAATACGTTAAGGTCAAAGTGCGAGGTATATAACGTGAATAACAAACGCTTTGAACTATTCTTAGTCGACAGTGAAAAATAAGTCTTTGCCCCGATAACATAAAATTTATTTTTACACGTCATAGAATCATCGCAGAAGAATTATAAGTTTACAGTAAAAATTTCGATAAAGCTGTTTAAAATAATTCTACGATTTAATGTATTTGCAATCATATTCATTTTGATGATACTTGACAGCGTCTAAAGTATAAGAAAGATGATATAAATAAGAAAAAAAGAGATCAATAAACTATTTTATCAATAGTGATAAATATCGATCGATATCGATCGATATTGATAAATCGATCAATTCTATAATCGATAAATTCTAATCAATATAATAGATTAAAACTGTATTACGTGTCTGATGAGGAACATTCGATTGTCGGCTAATTGTGTCATCGATTTTAACAGAATTCTATTTTTGAAACTCACCGAAAATGCAATTGCTTTTAAATCTGAGAACATTATGGGATTAAGTATCGAGATGAGAGCACTGTTTAACGTGTCATCATCATTTCCTCACGATAATTTGTTATTCGCTCTTGCATTGGTATCGCCGAGTTTCAGGAACTTCCTTTAAAATCGACGCACGCTGATCTGATATCGCGAATGTGCCTCGTCCACGCACAAAGGCTACATTTTGAATTCTGTACGTTAACGAGACATATTCTGTTTTGTAGTTTAGAACAGACTCGTAGTGTTTGATCCAAAACCGTCGGCACCATCTGCCTCCTCTAGTACTGCACACTGAGGCGCAGCATTGGGAACGTCGGAATTGAAAAGCAAAAGTCAAATATGTAACGTAAGCTGCACCAGTTATATCAAAGACGAGAGAGGGGAGAAAGAGCGAGAGAAGGGGAGAGAGAGAGAGAGAGAGAGGGAGAGAGGAAAGGAGGGAGAGGGCGAGAGGAAAGCTCCGTTCGTTCGCGGTTGAATCCGCGAATGAAGGAACGGGTCGGATGTTAACGCAAATTGTCTCGGCTCGATCGAGCGTACCTTTTTGGGCGCCGTGACAGTTAGTACACCATCCGAAGAGAGGGTCGAGGTGATGTTGACGAGGTCGTGAGACGGAGGCAGGACGTATCTGCGTACGAAGTGTCTGCTGATGTAGCCGTGCTCGTCCTGCTTCTCCTCGTGCTTGGCCTCAACAACGACGTGATTGTCAATCGTCTTCACCGTGATCTCGTCCGGTGAGAATTGTTGCACGTCCAGTATCACCTGCGGAACAGAGAACGCGGCCCCGCAGAGAGGCCCCGGGTACTTGTTATTTAGCTGCTCAAGATCCTTTCTCGTCCGCCATCGAGGATAAAAATCTCGCATTCTTCCGTGAGCCATTGTAAACAGCCGCCATGTATCCGTAAAGCGAAAGAGTTAAGTACTCCTGAACGAGCTTACTTCAAAAATAATGGTCGATTTTTGAAAAATTGGACTCGCCATCCTTTTTTTGCATCGCGCGGATTAGCGTTTCTTTTACTTTGGTGTTTCGTTCTTGCTCTGGCTATCTGAATTTTCATTTCGAAGAGGATTTTCAACGCCGCCGTGCATACTCTCTAGCGCATATACTAAATCGTATTCTAAAAACACCGTACGCGTTAGGCGCGCTATCTCACGCACAATAGTTCCGGCTTACCATTTGGAGCAAGCGCTTCGTTCGATCTCACATTCGTCCTTTCACGCTTCCACGTTCAAGGAGCCGCCGATCAGCCACAGTTGTTAGAGTTTCCGCGACGAGCGAGGAAAATGACAATTCGGCCAACGTTTTAGATCCTATTCTGACCATCAAATAAGCGCGTCGTTAAATTAATTTTTTTTTCCTCGTCTTGACTCTCTCTCATACATGTAATCTTTTGCGTTTCTTTAGATTATCGCGCGTTATGATACAAAAACAAATCGGGAAGATGTAGTTGTCGGGCGCACCTACTTGTGTGGAGATTGTTCCTTTTTTTTGGACAAGGAAAAAAAAACGAGCATACATACAAGTAGGTGAATCTTCTTTATCTGTAGTGAGTGCGCGGTCGTGCGGGGAGCAATCCCTCTGCACGGTCTCGCAGGGGCTGGTCCCTTTGCGGCCGGCGGCTTGCTTCGGCTATCGGAGAGGACAAACGATTGCCAATGCATCAAAAAAAAAACAAACAAAAAAAACAAAAAAAAAGATAAAGTAGGGAGTAAAAAAGAGAGAGAGAGAGAAAAAAAATGAATAACACTCATAGAACGAGGAAGCTTTAACAACCGACGATAGTGAGAGGCAAACGTATCCGAGTCCCTCCGGGTGATCTTATGTGATCCTGGAGCTCGGTGAAACACGAACGCGAAGAGATTAGGATAATTGGCTGTGCATTTCGAAAATAGTATCAAAAAAAAAAAAAGAATAGAAGAGAGGAGAAAGAAGTTTGCGGAGCGATCGCTCCGCGAATGGTCGACTCGAGTGCTGCGCGCAGAGCGACATATTTTGTACAAATAAAAAGATAAAGCGAAACGAGTTCCGTATAAGAAAGAATTAAAGCATAAAAGTCATTTTGTACGACTCTATTGTTGTGGGTAATTCAAAAAGCATTTATTTTTGTATAATTATAAACGGGGGGAATCGGGACCCGCGCGGGTCCCGTCCGCGCGACGCACCCTTTTCGTTGGGGGGTGCGTTCGTCGGGACGACACGAGTTTCGGTTCTTCCATTCGAACAAGACTGACTAAGCGTGACGCGATATATCCACTCTTTCGGTTGCATATTTTATTCCGTGGCTGCTGCGCGTGATTTCTCGCGTGCGACTCTGAACGAAAAAAATCACAAGACCTTACGAACAGAATTAGATACAGTGTCACCTCGAACCTGCGGCAAACCGTGAGCGCGATTGCGCGAAGGAAAAAATATTGCAGAACTAGAGAGAGAGAAGGAAGAGTGAAAATAACAAAAGAGAAAAATATATACACATTCACACATACATGTACAATAAGATTAAATAAGGGGGAGGTAAAACGAAAACTGTGGTAAAACTGTGATTTCATAGAGATTCCGTAACTGATGTGACTAACCGGAAATTATGAAGCGTCCTTCTTTCGTGATACACATATCTCTAGATGATTTTCGGCAAACGAGAAGGAAAACTAGAAGGAATAGAATAGAATCTGCTAATAACGATAATAATAATAATAATTATATGGGATCTGCTAACCCTCGATTTGTACCAAGAATTTGAAGTGAATAGGGCGATTAAATGAACTACCACATGCCTAGGAGAAGTTAGATTCTTTTCGGCACAAACAAAATCATAGTAAAAGAAGGACAACGCTGTGGATGTTTTTCTGACGAGCATTAAATTATTTGAATCTTTGCGGGGAAGAGAAAACTAAAAAAGAAAGTAAAGACGAAATTCGCAAAAAAAAAGGAAAAGTCGTTTCCAATTTATTCGCTCTCCCTCCCCCAGAGGGGGGTGCAAAAACACGTCCCCTAGCCCCCGAAAATAGTTCCGGTCAAACACTCGTTTCACCATTCTGACCCGTTGAAAATCTAGCTGTCGCCCTCCTGGTCGACTTCGCGATCGCGCGATTATGAAAGCGTATAATTATAACGCGTAAATACATAATGTATGCGTGTATGACGATAGAGACAGCGACAGCTGCAGCAGATGCAGTCATCAGTTTTTCGGGCCTTCTGGTGTTCCGGATTCTTTTTCGTTCGTTGCTTTTAACCGCCCCTATCAAGCATTAAGTTTCACTCCGTCTCTTAACTCCCTTATATTTAGTTTCATCCCCCTTGACGGGATTTCTTTTTTTCTTTTTAACGGCCACGCGGCTGATTCGTCCCCTTCGAAAATAACGTTCGAATCCGTTCAAATAGACAGTCTCCATTTCAATCTTTTCCGTTAACGTTTTTTTTCTGTCCCATTCCTTTCTTCCTTCCTTCCCTTTCCTCCCCTCTTGATCCCTTTCCTCTCCTCTTCCTACCCTTTTTATTTTCCTTCTTACGAATGCGCTCTTTCGTCCTCCCCTCTCACGTCACTCCCGCCACCTTCGATCATTTATCTCCTGCGACTTTTCTATATTTCGAAATCTAATTACGATTCGCTACTCGTTTTTTCGCTAGAAGATAATGTAAAAGAAAGTATCTTCCCCTATAATATACTTATTACATATTGTACTTTTTTTCATAGGATATCATTCGAGGCTCTTTGTATTCGACACAAAATTTGTTATGCGTCCAATACAAATCGCGCTCGAACTACAAGTATCAAAATAAGGAAACTTGAATCGCTAAAGAGTTTAAGTCGTGTCTTAGCTTAAGTTGTACCACACATAATCGAACATATTCCGTTCGCTGTTGCATCATCGAAACTTTCTCGAGGAAATGTAATTGTAGCGCATTGAGACAGAGCGATTTCGAATTCATGAATTTAGAACTGTTAGGTTAATTGTGTTACATCCGTGATAAAATGCGAATGTAATTTGATGAACCGCAGACGAATTCGTGAGTTTAAGAGCTTTTAGGCAAGTTGCATATTTGTATTCAATGTGAAAAAAATCATTATAAAAAGAAAAAAGGCTATCGCTTCAGACCGTAATTAAGTTGTTGCACAGAATAAACCAATTATATTCCACTCGCGGTTGTATCATTAAACTTTCAGAAAGATAAGATAAATAACCATTTCTCAGCATAGCCGATTGCTTCTGCAAATTTGAATTTTAGGCGTGTCGCAACACGCTCTCGCGACCAATAAATACGTATCTGCAGCTTGCATACATAAAGCAAAATTGAACCCATTATAGGCAACAGCGACTGATTGCAACAAATGTAAATTAATCGATATTACTGTCGAGTTACTAAGTTATGCTAGATTCGAGGTGTGATAACTGAACGATCTTGAAGATCGGAAGGTAGCGACCTCGCGGACGTTTTATCCAGTGCGAAATCAAAAGTTGAATATCTATCGACGAAAAGTGAAATATCTAACGAACGATGAAATATCTATCTTATAATTACAGGGACAACAATAATCTTTATCCGCGTTTAAACCTTTCTGAGAGAGAGAAAGAAAGAAAAACTGGAATACTTTGTGTAAATTCTATCTAAATCGATCTGAATTCATACTCTCGGACGCGACAGCAGAGCATTCGATTGATTCTTGATTCTCGACTTGTCTGCTATACGTTTTAGGATAACTGCAGCGTAAGATAATCGATATATTCCGCAGCGCGTGTTAATCCTAAGCATTAATCGCGTGCATATCATCCCGAATCGCGAGTCTTGTGTGAATTTTTCTGATATTTCTGCATCCGTGAAGCCGTATTTCTTTGATCGTTCCGTTTCGGAAACGCGACGGCTATAATTTTCCCGTAATCCAAGAAAGCCGGTATGTCCAACCAGCTGTAGACAGTTTCGCGGCGTTACAAAATTATACTAAAAATACGCGACAAATCGTTTAAAAATAACACTGCATCACACTCGCGTTCGGGACTTTCCGTGGTAATTTTAACGCGCGTTGCTTCTTGTTTACGCTTTCTTGCCGTACCACGAAATCAAACCAGACGAACGCACATTTGGCAGGAAAGTATTACGAATAATTTCTCCATTTTATGTTATTTTGAAATTGGAGGAGAGCTTCTTCCAAAAATTATAAGAGCACACAGTGTAAAAGTGGCTTGCAAAAATTATATATAAGCAATTTAGTATAACGACGAGATTCTTCTGAGGCGAAATTAGCGGTACGATTTGAATTGCAGATCAATCGAGAAGTGATAACAGTTTTATCGTCCATTTGCGTTATCGATTATTACTGTTGAGTCGATCATTACGTAAGAGAGACATTATATCTTCCCTATAAACTTTTATTAATTCTAAATCATTTCCGGCCAATTCCTATCTTTCGCAGGATCCTGCTAACTTTATCCAGGATCTTGCGAAAGAAGGAATTGGACCGTTTACACAGCAGTACTTCCGCCCTATAATATATCTTAAGTAAGCTTTTAACACTTTCCCGATAAAAAACGCATTAATGATTTTGTGAAGAAAAGTTTGACCAAAACCAGCTAACGTCTGACGAATTGAATACTCCAGCTAGGATACATGAGTTATATAGTTTGCAAAATAAAATTTATTTCGACAAAAAACTTCGAGTTCAACAAGTCCGTCTGATCGCAACACTTGCGCGCAACTAGATGCTAATAATTACTAAACCGACTAAACGTACGTCTTGTGAGAAAATACTCATTGACATCAAAGTGACTAAAAATGACGGCAAGTAAAGTACTGGCTAAAGCAAAATCCTTGTAAAGTTTATAATAAGACCGTTTTTCGCCACAAAAAGGTGAATCGTTTGGTGACAAAATAACAAAGATTACTTTTATAGTGTAACGTCACGTAACAAAAATGAGCACGATCGCGAAACGGGACGTATTTTCTGGTCATCTAATCTATATAAAAGATTCCATACAACACATTCTACCGTTCGATCTGTCGACGCAATAAATAGAATAAATTTCTAATGCTATCTAACAAACGGGAACAAATTTACAGAAACAAACATAGAGACACTCAAATGCACTAGTTCAAATATCGAAGAAAACAAAAATAGTTTGGCGATCTCCTCTAGTAAATCTGCATATTCAAATGAAAAAAATAAAATATGAAATTACTATTTCGCTCTTTTATAAGATATTTGAATATAAATTACTAACAGCGTTTTAATCAAGTAAAATCATTTTTCAGTAAAATCGTTTGAAAAGATATAAAATCAGTAAAATTACTCGAACATTGAAATGTTTGCAAATAAATTAAAATAGAAATACCAAGTTTTCTAACATTTCAAAGCTCCACTGTAGGCGACGTACAGCTATAAATTAAAAACTTTATCCTATTTACAAAAGTCCACGTTTAGACTCAATTCAAAATTATCGCTCAAATCAAAAGATCCGCAAAGAGAAAAAAAGATTTACAAATTCACTTTTGATTTGATCGCGCAGCGTCCCGTTTTATTGTTTGATATTTTAAAGTCAATCTACAAATACTAACCTGAAAATGATCATTGTCCAACTGGATCGTGCTGGTCCCGCTCGAGTTTTGACGCGTCACGTTCCCCCATGGTCGATAGTACCTATTCCCGAAGCGTACGGACGGCCGATCGAGGCCAAGTCCGGAGAGGCTCGAGATGAGATCATCTCGATGGAGGCCGATGCCAAAGTGCTGGTCCAATAGCCGCGAAACGGGACGATCGAAGTCGTCCCACCAATTGCGGAAAACAAGGGGCACAATGGACATCTATAAAGTAGGGATCATGGTTTTGAACGTGTATTAAAGATATGCGTGTACTCGTGTATTTCAATGTCCGTGTACCCGTATACTAAAAATTACACGGATTGAGAAACACGGATATATTAATTACACGTGTAACACGTGTATTTAGATACATGTGAAAAAGTGGTCTCTATAATAAATGACGGAAGCTTATCAGCTCATCAACAATTTCGACAGAATGTTGATACTTGTCGGTAACAAACATGAGCGAAAAATAAAGAAAAAAAAGAATCAAAAAATCCAAAAAAAAAAAGGAGAAAAGAATATCTTCGAGGTGTGAAAAATAACAGATGATTAAAAACGAGAGCAAATGAAAACTGAAGCAAAAACGAAAGAATTTTATCATTATCGAATAGTAATCGCAACTTACATCTACAGAAATTAACTCTAAGTTCTACTGTAAGCTAGACTGAATAAGGAGGTACTCGTTCTCTCGTTAGTATTATTGATCGGGCGATATTTAAGAATTATCATTATATTACATTAAGCGTATAATTAATTTCTCGAATCCGAGAGATTAACGTACATGCACTTATACACGCAAGAACCCCTCGAATAACAACTTACCACTTGACTCTACGACAAATACATTGCAGTTACAAAAGGCTTACCAAAATCTAAGTCATCCATTCCGGAGTGGATGAGTTTTCGCCGACAAAATACGCATTTATAAAAGGCTACAATAAGCGCACATCAAATATCGCACATCTTCTTGACTCGTCAAAAGTTGCTTACACGAAGTCTAAGTGGTAAATCGTCTACCTAAATATACCGATTAATTAATAGTTTTTAGGACAACTTAAGAATGCGTCGATCGAGAGTCCATTAATTCACATTGTGAATTCACACCGTGCTGTAGATTTAAAAATTCCCCTTCGTTAAAATCTAATATAAGCGAGAAGCTCTTTTTCACTCACACTTGAATTCTTCCATTCAACAGACTGGGCAAATCTGTATATAAAAAAAAAATAGATCTTAACGCGGATCTTAATTTTGAATCACGTAATGTAGATGAGGCGATTTTGAACACAACTATAATCACAACTTCCCTTACGCGACGTTAGAGAAATTTCGCGTAAGCAGATTCAAAGATTCAAATAACGTCACCTAATTCGTATAATTCCACAAGGTGGACGAGCAACGCAAAGTAGTATGTGCGCGAGATACATAGATATCGGGGAGATTACTGATAGCTCGTATATACAAATCGGTTTTGCGACTCAACACTCGAAAAGATAACGAAAACACGATAATAAAGTTAAGGCTAGTCGTAAGTTATAAGCGGTAGCGCGGAACCGTAAGAAGCTAGTCCGTTCGCGTAAGATCACGCAGGGAGTTTAAGTGAAAGCTCAATCTTGGGCCGACAGACCGTCGGAAATTGAGTATCGACCAACTTAGGCGATGGAACAACGATAGCGCAGGATCAATCAGATAGCGCAGGGACTAGTTTAGAATCACACGCCCACCGCAACTGCAAAGCCTTGTACCTCATACGCGTTCGAAACGCGCGATTTACCAAATGCAATACGACTATTAAAGATCCGGATATCGCAAGTGACTCGCGGTGAAATTCCTTACTCTTCCCTTCTTTCAGAATTAAGGGCACGCGTTTTCAATGACCGCACTTGTCGGTAGTTGGATGGGTGGGTGCGAGGACATAAGGACCGTTAGCTTAAGATTATCTCGAATCAATCTTGCTCGAATACATAGAATCGCACAAAATATTTCGTATTAATAAGCATACATTTGGGTCTAGATCCAAAAACGATGCTTGATAAGGCAAATAATTACTGTTAAGTAATCTTAAGATTATCGATACATTACAATCTTCTTATAGCTAAAAACTTGTACTGAAAGCCCATTTAAGGTAAGCTATTAGTAAGCTATAAATGAGGACGCAAAGAATGCACTCCCGACCGGAGAAATCCCGGAGTTCACACAAAAAATTCACAACGCGGGAATACCGTACTTTATGTGGAACGTGGACTTCGATTAATTACTCGTAGATCACCAGACGATTCCGGTATCATCCGAGTCGACTTCTGATTCGGCGCGAATCGTGGGTTCATCTTAAATAGCCGCGATGAGGAGGAGGTGCTCTCCTACTAATGTCACGTGACGTTTCACTGACTATCCTGTCCAAGAATACATCGACTTTGAATACAGGGATTTTTGTGGAAATCGACTCCGCCGTTCTTCCTCGCGACGGCATTTCGAACATTCTTGCTACTTTTTGAAACTACGATCTATACGATCGGAATTCTCACCGGTTCGTCATCCCGCGATTGCCGCGAGACGTAGCGCCTTACGAACCGAATTTGGGGCTGATAACGAACGGTGTTGTGTAAAAAAAACCAGATTTGGTACGACCTCTGTGAAAATGACGCCGTCTGACTATTCAAGCAAACATCATCGATTTATTATCGAGCCTTTCTTTGTACGACGTTTGAACGCTGCCTCCGTCGAAATCGTGGAGTGGCGTAATAGTAGGCTATCTAATGCACTTTGCTTATCAGCCTGTTAATTTAGATAGTCGTATTTAAAGACAGAAATTCTAAAAATGTACCAAAACGCGTAATTTCGTTATAAATAATCCTCTCTCTGTATTATAACTATTTAAAAAACTTAAAATCATCCAATCATTGTATCACACCAAAAGGGACTTCAATCAAGAGTTTCTCTAAAGCATTTCTCGCTCTGGCCGTACTTCGCTGAGCAAACCTCTAGAAATAGAGAAATCGACCGAAATAGAAACAGCGCGTCTTCGATCAGTCGTGATGAAAATTGAATGTCGGTTTATTCAGAAATCGCTACAAATATCGAGGACACACTTTACTTGCCGCGAGTTAAAAATCATATTTACAAGCTTAAAGTAAATCACTTTGACCCCACGGAGGGATATTAAATCGACAAGAGTTACCAAATGTTTTTAGAAGACACGGAGAGTGCTAAGAGCGCATTTTTAATACGGACTACGCCTACATACGTGTTATTTTAGGATATTGGATTATACGCGTTTTTCTTAGAATAAGTTTCCTTCGATTTGCTTCTTTCTCGTTTAATATGCATAAGGAATTAAGTTATGATTAACGTCGGTGTTAGCTTTGCGCGACATAGATTTTCATCAAGCCGTTATGGCACCCTTGAGTTTCTTTTTGGGATTTAATTAATTATGACCGCGATGATCGCGCGAGCACGATATTTATTTGCACGAAAGATAGGTCATAGTTTGATCAGTTTTTGCGTCGTTAGCTTTGCGCGAAGATAAATTTAGCAGCAATGCAGCACAATCGATGAAGACGGCGATTCACCGGATTACATAATTTTAATTGTAATAGCTTGCCCTTATTGGGGAAAGGTATGTCATTGGAAAGGTAATAACAACAGCATAAAACAATAACGAAAAATGACGTGCACGTCACCAAAAAAAAAAGAGAAAGCTTAGATATATATGTGTACTACTATATGTAATGCTAAGAATAATATTTAAGGAAAGGCTATATGCCAATAAAACTAAGTGTCATATTAACAATGAACTACGCTAATTCTTTATCCTTGGAATTCTGTTTACTAACGACACAAGTGCTGCTAATGAAACAATCTCGAAATAGATCCCGGATTCATGTTTTGTCTAAAAATACGCTACTGATTACAACAATGAATACATTGAGGAACAATCTTATTATTATAGTTATTTCTGTAAAATGAATAAATTTTTTATTTTTCACGCAACCAAAAAAAGGAGATTTATCTGTGATGTTTAAACTGGACGATAACCATTATCGAAATATCTCAGCGACCAAAAGCAAAAAGTATAGTTTTAGAAGTTAAAAAAAACGGTTATCGATGGCAAATCCCAATTTTCACTGGAAGCGAATTTCTTTTATTTGATTAAAAGACATATTTTGAAAAGGACTTAAGCAAATTCTTAATTCTAGCAATGCACTTGTGGGTACGTACTCAAAAAGCAGCGAGCATTTAGCATTAAGCATAATTCCTAGATGACCTTTCGATGAATCATACTATGTGGCATTATAATAATAATGATAAGCTATCTAAGGTAATTAAGTTATTTTATGTCCGCCAACCGTGTGTTGGCACTGTTGGCGGATATCTTCGGTATTATGGGCCCGCTACTAATTGATAAGGAGCAGGAGGCTTACCTTATAAGAGAATCTTATCTTCATCTTTACTCCAAAATATTATTGTGAAGTATTCCGTGTGTTTACGTGTCATACTTCGAATAAACTCTAAAAATGATTCAATACTCTCTGATTGTCTTTCGAGGTAAAAAAGATCAATGTCTCGTTGATACTGGATAAAATGGCCATGATCATCCGTGCGTCCCGTAGATGTATTATGGTGTAATGCATATATACTGTAAGCATATGTCAGCATACGTAAGAATCTTTACAATGAATGTGACTTACATTAATAACCATCCGTTAGGTTGATACTTGTAACTCGATGGATTATTGATGTTATTATACTCATCCTTTTTGGTTTATAACGTGCATAAATGTAATTATCGTTCTTAGATGCAACAACATTATATCAGGACAGTTTTAGATTGAAAAAGCGAATGCGTATTTTCTGTATTAACAAAAAAATGAAAAATTTGTAATTTGCATAACTGAAATTGTATACGCTCTGTTGATAAAAACTGTGCAAAATTTCATCTGGATACGGCTTACATTTTATATCTGATTTTATTTAATTCTGTATTTTTTTTATGCAGCGCATAGAAATAGGCCCTATGCCATTTCTTGGCTGAAAGAAACAATAAAGTGAAATCTGACCTACATAGTGCGAGTGTTTTCTTTTTTATTAACTTAAGACTTAAGTTATACCAATCCTTCTCTCTCTTCCAAATATTAGTTATATCTATATAGTTGAAACTTAATGGCAAAATTAATTAAGGCAAGGGATTCATTTCTGGAAGAAATAAGAAACGATTTAAAATGCAATGTTCTTATTTATTTGTCGGTCTCATGTACAAATTTAATAATCAGCATGCGCGAACGCAGCGAAAACTTTGTTCGAAATAACATTCTTCGGAGCTGCATACACAAAGGTATTTCTCTCATTAGACTACAAGTATCTTATTAATGTGTCACACACATGTTTAAAATAATAATACGGCGAATGTCATTGATAGGAATGGAATTATATATAAATAATGAAAATGCTAGTGGCACGCGAAACGGCAAATTATATGTATTTTCTTAAAAACGACTCGAGAAAACACGACATCGTTGCTCTATCCTTAAATACATAAATACTATACATGTCTTTGCGATAATCGCAGCGTAAATATTACATAACGAGGCATAAAACGAGATGCAAAACGAGACACGTTTTTCAAGATAATCGCAATATTTGCATCTCGGGATGTTGTTGTAGTTTCTCGACATCTTGTAAAGTGGATATACCTTGTTCCTGTAAAATATAATTTAAAACGAAACATGTCAATAAATGAACTTAGAACTTAAACATCCGGATTATGATGTCTAAATATCTGATGTTCTGTCTATCTCCAAATTTTGGAATAATATTATTATGAAATTAATGAATATTGTTATACAATTGTACAGTGATTTCGCGTTAATTATCTCGAAGTAATTAAATTGCGGATTAAATTAAAAAACTTACATTATATTCTTTCCATTTCTCGTAATTGTGTCGCATATAGCCTACTATTTCCGGCATGTCGATAAACACTACGAAAATAACAAATGGCAAAAATAATAATTCGAATATTAATATTTAATGAGAAGTCTAAAGTAATGAAGAGAACGAACCATCCCATGCCTCAATCATATCGTTAATGATATAATCGACGAAACCGATTTGCGATTTCGGTATCGAACATGTCATTCTATCGAACATTGGCATTACGACTGGCATTTTCAACTTTTTTTCCTCATCGGTCTGAAAATTATCAATAAATATTTGAACGTGAGAGTAGTGAATTATCTTCCCCGTATTAATGTTTTTAGTTACTAATTATCAAAATCACCTGATTAAAATATTCCTCCGCGATTCGTCTCGCCCATTCGACGCAACATTTCAATGGCCGCGTTGGATTAGATACGTCCGCGCATTTGATCATCATTCTTTTAACTAGTATTACATTATCTGGCTGTAATACCACAGTCATGTCCAGAGAATCTGAATATGTCTGTGAAATATTTTTTTAAATTTAAATTTTTTCATTCATTATATATTCTAAACACATGTTAGAACAATTTATCGTAAAATATCCAATAAATTTATATAAAATTATAATCTCATCTACATTTGATATCTATGTTAAACATTTCTAAAATAATTTTTAAAATATTGCAAAACTGATTTTTAATCATTTATGTTTGGATGATAAGAATATAGAGAATCAATATTGTTGAAGAGAGTGTAATTAGATTTTTTATATTATTGATAATCCATATAACTATCAATTAAGAAGGAAATAATGAGGATGATACATTAACTTTAATCTATAGTAGAAAATTAATAATGATAATTAATTGAGATGCTTAAATTAAATATAAAATAAAATTACTAACAATTTGAACGTAAAAATAATATACGGTACCTCTTGACCGTCGCCAATTCTTGCGCTGCAAACATTCATGAACTTCGCCAGGTGCTCGAAGTGCTTCGTCATTTCGGTCGCCAGAATCATGTCAATGACATTTTGTCGTAACAGTTTGTATGCATCTCGCTCCATGTTCTAAAGCAGACATTCAATCCAGTGTTATAACTTTAGCATAATCTATACACATTCACCTTTAAATTAGCGATTCAACGAATACAAAAAAACTTACTTTAAAGATATTCACACTATCGTCAGACAATGATAGTTTAAATGTTAAGGCTGCATGATGCGATTCGAGAACCGATAAATCATTGTAGAGTATTGCCAAACGACTGTTGGCATTGCAAAGAAATTGACTGGAAATGAATTTAAATTCAATACTAGATTATCAACATATGTCAAGATTTTAGATATTTTTGCATGATAAATACTAATTAAATTTTTATTAAATATTTAGTCAAAAATAATTAGAAAATTCTGTCAAGTTTTCTTTCTAATATTTTGTGATTAAAATAAAAATCTATAAATATATAACTTATATAAGCATACATTAAAATGCTACATTTTTGTTAATATATCTTATCTTATTTTTCAAATTATTGAAATTAAATCATCTCACCTGGACCGTCCAGGATGATCAATGTCGTGCGCAGCGGCGGCTATTAGAGCAGCAACCTCGTCTAAAGGTTCTAAAATTTCCTTGAGTCTCTTTGATTGCATAAATCTCGCGGTGGCTTGCAAGACATCGGCCGCGTGCGTTGAGTTGTGATAGCTATTCTCCGCGTTGTAATTGTGTTCGATAATGGCTAGCCAGTTCTGTAACGTTCTCTCATCGCAATGTAATGTAGCAGGTACTTGATATAAATTCATAATTGTCAATCCCAAGAAAACGAGCGGTCTGTAATAAATCAAAACTCAAACAATTTTGGTAATAAACATAATGAGCCGTTATACGAAAAAAATGCAAGGCATCTGTTTTAAATTAATAATTATAAAACTGTTACAAAACATATTGCGTAAAATGATGTTAATAGTTCACATGACCCACCTTCTCTCCGTCAGTACTTCAAGCTTAAATATTTCGAAGTCCCAGTCGAGACTTTTGTCCAGTATCTCCATAATTTCTTGTGGCCCCCGGAAATTTTTTACTTGCACGCGCGAATTCGTCGGACTGGTGATAGCCTTGATAGTGGATAGTCTCGCAGAATCCGACGACGACCTTCTGGATTCCCATGCCGTGCGCGGAGACTGTTCAAATAATCAAATAACGATAAAATATATCAATAAAGAGAAAAACATCTCATCAAATCTTCATAAATGCATGATTTATATTTATTGTAAGTTTGTTATTTTCTTCATTTGAAACGAAGAAAAAATTCTTACGGCAAGTAATGCGCCAACGAGATCCGTAGCAACTGGATCGCTACACATTGCTCTATCTTCCTTAAGATGCGGTACGTAGAGTTCCGTCGTCTTTAGGATATCGATTGCCTGTGAAAGACGTAGAAGATGTAATAGTAAACAACATATATCTATTTAATTGGACAGGCGTGACTATAGGACGACAAGCATCTCGATTAATCACGTACTTTATCGATCTGCGCTGCTGTTTCCGGATTAGTTGTATCCGTGACCGCATTCGAAAGTAACGTAATGACTTTAGTGATAGGAGCTTCCAGTTGTAAGGTATGCAATTTTTGCAAGCTGGATCGTCTACGGCCTGTTACAAAAATATAATCTTTCTCATACTAAGGAATCTTATATTAAATTTTACATTAAATTAGATTAAGATTACAATGATAAGAATAACAGAGAGTTTTTAAAAATAACTATGCAATTTAATGTTATAAAAATTTAGAAATTACATACACTATGTAAATACTACGGAATACTATACGTAATTTCAATCTTCAAAATCAGTAATTAATTAGAACAATAGACACATAAAGCCTTCGTATTAACTAGGCTATAGCAGGTGTGTCCCAGTTTTGTGCTATTAAATTTCTTGACATGTTTACAACGACAATATGTAGGGTTGATATTGGCGCGATAACTCTTTAACGTAAAAATACGTGCCGCAAAGTGTGTCATAAAATTGCCGGTGACCTAATTCGCGCCTTTCAATGCATTCATTTTTATATCAAAGTATAAGCTGAGAAGACGAAATTTTCTTTACTGATAACTTTTTAAAATTATATTTATACAATTTGTTAATATTAGCGATAATATTTATCAGATATTGTAGAAATACCTTTATCTTCACTTATAGAACCAGATCTAACATCCGAGGATTTCCGCGCGTTCGTTATATTCGTTTTAAGAGGAGGATTCAACGGGCTACTAATTGGACTTATTGGCACTGAATTTTCCGATAAATACGTAGTATCGTATACGTATATATAATGACTTGGTTTTCTAAAAAATAGATATAATAATTGATAAAATTATAATAGGACAGCTATTATAAAATAATAAACAATGCATATTTTAATAATAATGGTACCGTATAATAAAAAAGGTTGCTAGTTTCTTTAATAATTGGAAAATGTTGAACGTACGAAAAATTTCATCAAAGTGATAAAATTCTATACAAAATATATTAAACTTTTTAGAGGTTATTATATCAAGGAAACATACTTTAATGTGATACAGAACGGAATTATCCTGCAATTGATCGTAATCATTTGATTGTTTTTTCTCTTGCAATTCATATTTCCTTCGAATTCTCGGCCTTTACTCAGTTGCTGCTCCATGAGAGGAAAATTTTCGTAGTATACTATTTCCGAGAGGTTTCTTCCCATCATCTCTTCTACCTTATATCCTAACAATTTTTCGCTGACTTTATTTAGAAACTAAAAACAATATAAAATTACGATCTATGTATAAATTAAAAAATAACACACAATGAATAATGCATATTTATGTGTGCGAAATATATAATTTTTCTCATTTTAGTGGAAACTATTGAAAATGGCTACATAAGATGTAAAGATTGGATACAAATACATTATTCGCGATACCTGTACAATGTTTTTATCATTAGTCACATGCACCATATCGCGGCATCTGTCGAGTGCCAAATATAATGCATGCGCTGCAGCTAGTTGAGTTCTCGGCAATAATGAGCTAGTATATATCCCTACTAATTCGTTTATTAATATACCTTCATGAGAACATTCCATCAGTGCCTGAAATATAAGCGAAACTAAATAAAAAATCCAATAGAAAACCTGTCTATAAGCCTCGTTTATGTACTCCTAAAGCTGCATTTTTATGTTTGAATAAGCACTCACTCTATTAAAACCCGTTTCTAGCAAGTTTAATGCAACAATATGGTCTTTTTCATCAAGCATGAAGTACCTAGAAGACACGTGACATTCAAATGTTAAAATAAAAGTAAAAGTAAATTAAATTTTTTAAATTGACAGACTTACGATTTCTTTACGAGCGCGATAATGACAGAATTGTGATAAACCGGACTTGACCTAATCGCTCTGAAATTTAATATTTTTAACATTTTAAATAAAGTATATAAAAAGAATGTGCACGTGTGTAGATAATTTATCACATTGTGAAAATTACATATAATGAAAATTGTTTAAATAAGTTCACATTTTGAACAAAAATCTTTTCGATAAATTCATTACATTTTATTTAAACGACCTGCCATACCTACAAATAGCATCACCTTCGGCAGCGTGATGTGCTCTATGATCGATAATCACTAATTCGTGAGCACGATTTTGAAAAAGTTCTAATGCTTTTTCCGCATCTTTTGCCACCGATACACTCCATCCCAATCTTCTCGCGGTATTAGCAAGTATGTCCATTTGTTGATCATCTTTGCTAAATACTAATAATATCTGCACAATGAAGAAGTTTGACAGAAGTATTGAAAACAGAACTAGTGCATTAGTGATGCCAAAAATGTTTCCAAAAAATTTCATGCTTTTTGTGATTTCATCACAAATCAAACGTTGTGATACTTACTTTTACAATACTAGGAACGTTGGTTGTCAATAAATAATTACTAAGATCTTGAGGTCCTTTCTGTAAACAGAAAAAAAAAGTAATTCGAGAAGCTGAATAAAATAAACTTGTGATTAGAGAGATTTATCAGTTCTCTTTTTTTTCATAATTGATGCATGTTTGCCATGAGTAATGTTTTTATTTGACCAAATCTAATCAGAGACTTAATATTAATGCATCGATATCATTGCTGGTTACATACCGGCTCCTCTTTATCTAGATATATCGATTCAAGTAGTTTGTAAATTTTCGCTCGACGACGCGCACGTGGAGATACTTCCACATTTTTTACTGTTCTATGATACGGAATTTGGTCTTTCATTTGCGTCAAATTAATAGCTGGATCGTATTATTCTCTAACCTGTGTATGTCAAAGATTTGACAATAACAACGAAATTAGCAATTTTATGTACATACAATTCAAATTAATAAAGATCGATCTTAAAGAATAATTACCGGATTACCACTGCAAATTATTGCAAACTCTTGGCTGTTTTAGAAGCTATATGTACGTACATACATATGTACATTTACTACGTATTGAAGATATATTGGAGAATATTTTGCAACTTGAGAGAGAGAGAGAGAGAGAGAGAGAGAGAGAGAGAGAAAGCAGTAAATTTACTACTTCTCAATACTTTTCAGAAAAATGAAATTATAAATGCATAAAAATTATACCAGAAATGATTGATAATAATTTCGTACCCTAATATATGCCAGCTCAAGCCACTTGCATCTTATTTTTAGTGCATCCACCTCTTTTACATATGTCTGTACACTATACTGAAAATGCTACTACATCATGTCTACGATTCTCTTCTTCGTAAAATTACTATCACTGCACTGTGATTTCGCCACACAGACATAAAGCATCAGACAAACGTCTATTTTGCAATATCTTATTAGCTGAGAATCGTAAAATAGCAGTTGTATGAAAATAGATTGTGTGGCAATTGGATATTAATCATTCTGAATTATATTTTTTTTTACATTTTTCGAAATTAATATTTTAATTTAAAGGTATGTTTTAATTATAATTTTTTAGCTGTTTTGTAAAGTATTTCATATTTTAATTATAATATTTAACTCTATCAAGTCACTACGAGAATTGCAGGTACGATGACGTTTAAAGAGAGGATCATCATCGTGATACTGATCATCGATCAATGGGTGGCAGTGAGATTGATATATTCACTTGATGCATCAGAAACAGAAATCTGCGATAAGACGTCCATATCAAAGTTTCTGTAATAATAGTATATTTTGTGAAAAAGCCAGATAAAACTTTTTATTCTACGGAAAAAACATTCATAAATAAGTGATATCGCTGGAAGTTTCATCATGCCCTTTAAATAATGTGAATATATACATACATACATACACACACACACACACACATATATATATATGTTATATATACAACAATATTTTAAAATGTAACATAATTTCATTCTGAAAAAAATTATTAGTTCTATTATTTTCCAAAATTTTTTTATGCATCTTTAATAATGTTAAATATTTATCCTTAATAAAATTTGCTTAATTAAATTTGAATTTTATTTTTAAATAAAATTCAAATTCATTGCAAACATCGTAAGTTTTTGAAATAAATTAAATTTTGCCGCCTTAACAATTACTAGTGGCTTGCTATAAAAATACCAATTGAATCATCATAGCTGATCGCTTGCGAATATTGTCGTGATCAAATACGAATTAGGGAGAGAAATTTATGGTCGGTTGAAAATATCGCATATTCGATTTCTTTTGCATCCTGAGAAGACAACTGCTAATTTAAAAAAAAGAAAACTGTATTTATACATTGGGACGAAATGTACGTAGGGTTTATATTCGTTTTTTTAATTGTTCGACGAACGTAAACCATAGAAAGGGTAGAAAAGTTCGTTTACGTTCAGATAGGGAAAGTTCTGCGACTAAGAAAAAAGCCTCTTGCAACAGAACAGCGGTTATCCTGCTATCGATTCGTCGCGAGTCACTTCGCAATATTAATCAACATCTCCTAGAAAAAGTAACGGTGAATGAACGAGAGTGACAATTATTATTTTATCTTACATTCACATTTCTATATAAAAATAGAAGAAACCAATACACACACACGACAATGAGCTAAAAATTTTGTACGGAAGTGGTGCGAAAATTCAATTCGTTCCATCAACAAGTTGATAAACATAAACTGCCGGTTTAGCGTTTAACTTGGTGCAACGTGCTCACTTTTAGCCTACAGTATCAAACATCGTAACTTTTCACGAAACACTGCTCCCACCGATAATTCAATCAGAATAATTGCTGTGCGTGACAACTCCGACAATTGCGTTCAGTTCTGAATTATCGCTCGAGCTATAGAGAGTACATAAGTACAAGCACGTTCGAGAGACAACGATTAACCGAGGGGAACAACAGCGAAGTGAATAAGACAAAAGAGTGACATCGCGTTCGAACACGTTCCAAACTTCTGATTAACTAGACACTTCTTCTGATCGCACAGACGAACTATAACTCTCGCATTCGACGCTTTGAAGATCGGAAATTGCTATCGTTCGTAGAGAAATAATAAAGTTTATTGTGTGGGGTAACTTTACACTCTTCAGGGGCTCCGAGCTGACGCGGTGCGTCGTGCAATCGATTTTCCCACTTTGATTTGACTTAAAAACGCGTGTAGTGCGTAACCAATTAGCTGCTTTTTCTTACCTGACATTTTTTGGTTAGCCCGAAACACGCACGGCAATCGCGTGCTGCATATCCGCATACTTTAAACGAGCAACTTGTCGGTCTCGACTGTCGTTCTTCATCTGGCCGCTCGCGCTCGTCTAGAGACAGTCTATAGACAGTCTATAGACCTGTCTATAGTCGTTCCCGAGCGATGAGATCTTGACTCGTCGAGGAGAAGCGGCCAAATGAGAATTCGTCTTCACCGCGATTGCGCGCAGCGAATCAATTATTCAGCCGGCGTTTATGCCCTCGAGGTTGAAGAGCGTCCGAACAATTTTCATATTTAATCGACCATCGGGGAACGGATGACTATCAAGCCGATCGAGCATTACCCTGTCGTTACCCCCGCGCGAAAACTTTATAAACGTCGCGCGAATTATTGAAAGGGTTGGTCTCGGTGGGAAGCCGCATCAGCGATACGCAGAAAAACGCACGTATATTTAGAATCTCTGTCCGCGAAGCTTTTATCGCGGGGAGGAGGGGTCTTGATTGCGGGTTTCCCGACGAAGTCCTGTGAGAACGGAGAGGGCTGACGCCGAGAACTACTCTTCGCTAGATTATTTCTCCGCTTTTTTCTTTATCTCTTTTTTTTTCTTTTCGCTGCGTTCCCTTAATGATTGAATATTCCCTGCGAGCGGGATTTGCGCCGTCTCTCCCTTTTCGAGCTATTTATGTCCACACTTCCGTATGGCTTTTTTTCATGAACTTTCCTTTTGTTTGATAGTTTTCATTTTCTGTCTCTCCTCTTCATTAAGTATTCTTTATAAAACCTGGACAATTGCGCCGATACTTTATAATATTTTTTGAACGTAATATTATAGATAATTTTTTAATATTAATATTAGAGAGGTAAATTTATTTTTAATTGTTTGTATACTCTTTCACGTAAAAGCCAAGAGAAAACCAAAAGAGGATAACAGAGTGGAGATATAGAAACAAAAGAGAGATACATTTTTAAATTAAAAATATAGCAAATTGAAATCAACATTTCGAGTTTTTTATATATATGAATACAATGTTAAAAATATATTTGCTGACACTTTTATTATTAAGCTGCCAAGTAATTAATCATGGCTTTATTAAGATATTAGCGATATCATTGAAATTAAAAAGAAATCGATAAACAATCGACAGCGATATATCGAAAATCAGTCTCTTATCCATATTCAAAAATATAAAGTGGAACAATGCCTAGGCGATCCTTATCTTTGATTACGAATAAGAAAGAGTCTAGATAGCAGGCCTCTGATTAATAGAAATATGATAACGCGTGCCTACGTCACAAACCACGTCACTTATCGTCAAGTGCATTGTCTTTATGCGATATTAGTCTCTATATATTTAGCGGAAAATTCAATAAAATATCGTATTTTATGTTGTATCGCTCGATTAATAGAGTAGAGAATCCGAAGTTTATATTAATATAATTAAATTAATTTAATAATTCTATGATTTAAAGTATTATTTATTTTAAAAGAAACGTAACGGAACTGTTGCATGTTGTAAACATACCGATTATGGAATAATACATCGGAGAACAATATGAATAAATTACTCGGTTAATTGCTTGATGTTTCATTAAGTAACTTATATAAAATAGAAAAATGACATTTAAACAATTTATATCAATTAAATAATATTCAGTAACGGGAAAGTAACTTACGACAGTCAAATAATCGCCGTTCTCATCGTGCGTGCTGTCCTCGAAGGGTGTTTTTTCATTCTTTTCAGCCACAATGTCAAATTCATCCGTCTTACCTGAAACAATCGCATCGAATATTCAATTCGATTATAATCAAAACTCGAAATTCAGACGGGTATTCTTTTGAACAATCAAAAATTCTTAGCAACAGGTAGTTGCTAAGCGTAACTATAGCATCGTAATTGAAGATCTATCGTCACTAAAGCCACATGTAATAAAGCTGATACTCGCTATTCATGTATATTGATTTATGTATGTACGTGTATCGGACATTTGCCTAACCACGCTCGATCTATCAATTAACGTACTTTAGTTGTTAATGCATCAGTAATTATGATAACGAAGCTTGTTAAAGGTACATTCACCTATTATATAGGCGTATCTTATAGGATTTAAGAGTCACAGTAGCATTTATTGCAATTAAAAGTTAATTGAATTTAATTGAGAAGGTAGATTAATCGTTGCTCCAATTTTTTGAGAGATTGTTCTACTTATAGGATGTACTTATTATAAAATAATTACGTAATACATGCAGTACAATGTATTTAATGGAATCAAGGTGGAAAGTTTAAAAGATTGGATACGATCATTTACGCACCAAATAAATGACCTGTAAATAATTCATCCTCCAAGCTGTCTTCGTCTTCGCTTGGGAAGAAATACTCATTCGGCGGCGATGCCATATGAATTATGTTTTCGGCCTTGCGATCATTGAGTTAAGCAGAGCTACATTATTTCGTACTGCTTAAAATTATATTTCTTTGCGTCTGCTTTCATTACACTGACAGTGTTATACTATTACACATTATTATCTACATTAAACATTCGTCAAAGAATTTTTCTTTTAAAAAGTTCACTGAAATCCGCAATAATAAAACAAAATTTTACATTTTCAGAGCTGAAATTAATTTTTTAATTGTTTAATTTTTAATATTTGTTATTAATTAAGGGAACATTTTATAATTATATTGTTATTAGAAACAGTATATTAATTTTTAATAAATTAAAAATATATATAGCATTAATGTACAACAAATTATTTCCCACATAGAAATTGATATTTTAGTTCTAAACATTTGTATATTAACGCGTTATATGTATTTTTCTTCGTTTATCACAAAAAAATAGAAATCGTCTTATTTGAATAAAAATATAATAAAATTTGTTATTCTCGGATATATGAATATGTAGAAAAATGTTAAATTTATTTAATTTATATATTTATAAAAAAAATAAATTTGTTTTCGTAATTTATAAATAACACAAAAAGATTGACTGCTTGAAATATAAATGCAAATATATTGTATGTTAATTCCAAGATATTATATACGTATTTAAATTAAAATGTGAGAGATTCAGAAATTATTTATTATATTTTGAATTAACATATACTAATAACAGAATCTTAATTAATGCATCAAAATATTATCAATTATTTCAATTTTTGAAATGCTAAGTCAGTTGCTTAGGTTTAGATAAGTAGCTCAATAAATTATTTTTGTTCCAAAAATCAATATTATCCAAAAATAATCGAACAATTTTTTAATAGCGAATTATAAAAAAAATTTTTTGTTAAAGGTATTACAAAAATTGTATCTAACGTATATCCATTTTTATGACAAAACGGAGATAAAATTAAAGCTGTTTTTATTAGCTCAATCTCTCTAAAATTTTGTTAATTTTTCGCAGCAAATTATTATCAAATAACAGATATTACCAAAAATTTCACATTTTTAAAATCTTTAACCGCATTCATGTTAATTAAAAGAATTAATACATTCTTTTAACATTAATTTATTTCATTACACCACATTATTTAAATATGATTTAAAATGTTTGGAAGTTAATGAAAATTCGCTTATACATAACACATGCACTCGAAATAATCAGTTTCGTGAGATTCCACAATTAACAACACTGAAATACAATTTGTTCCGACGTTGTTTGCGGGCATTAAAATCGCGAGCGGATTAAAATTGCGACGATAAAAATCGGCATACATGTGTGCCGAACGATGCGTCGTTTGCGGCCCAAAGACACCGACTGACCGAGAGTACCGAATCGACCAAGTTAAAATTCTACTTGAGAGTGACTGGCCCCAGAAGAGCAACGTGATAGCGTCGTCGGGGAGATCAGAGATACTGCAGGTCCATTTAACGCGTACACAGACAGAAATATGCATCGCGTAAAATTGAGTTTCAGAAAAAGTAGAACAAGATTTTCCGAAATAAATGATTATTTTAGAAATAAAACGTTACTCACAAATGCAGAATCATCATTATTATGCATGAAAAACTAAACATACACAGGCAATAAGTGATAAAAATTAAAGATTGAACATTCTTTGATGTTAAATCCACGAAAAATCACTGAATTATTAAAAAAAATATGCATATAAATATAGCCACATATGGTCGCACGCAATTAAATTTAAAAAAATATAATCGTTGATTTAACCAGATAAAAAAAATTTATGTGCACACTGATATATGCTCTACTGTATTAACATAATTCTATTAAATATTTTTTAAATAATAATCATGTTGTTTTAGCCAGAACGAATACGTTGTCATAGGCATTTAAATGAATTCATTGTTAACAATCTTCCATCTGATAAGATAATTCAAACTACTTGTACTTTGCTTACGTATTCACAAGAGTACAAAAACATCGTAGATATTATCGACGTCAGCTAAACGACTTACACAGGAGTCATGTTTACCGACTTCATGTGAACATTAGTGAAATTAATGTGATTAATTGATTAATTAGAGAGAGAGAGAGAGAGAGAAATAGATAGATAGAGGGAGGGAGGAGAGAGGGGGGGGGAAGAGGGAGAAGGGAGGGGAGAGAGAGAGAGAGAGAGAGAGAGAGAGAGAGAGAGAGAGAGAGAGAATATGCGTATGTAATCATTGATACTGATAACATATAAAAATTGTTTACAAATTTAGATTACATAAAATGTAATCGGCAATCAAATAATGTCTTTTACTGTTTTATATAGATAGCTTTATAAACAATTAATCTAATAACTAACTAACGTTGCGCTACTTTTTGATCGTCCTCTTCGGCGATAAAATTGTGAGACTTGTGTGTGTCGAACGCGAGATACAGACTGTCTTCGTCCCTGTCGGGCTCTGTTGTATCTGTAAATAATATCTACATGTAAATACTTATCGATAGTAAGCTAAAACAACTAATGTCTTAAAACACATAGGCCGGTATTCACAGTCGAATCTTATATAGTCTTAGTATACTCTTAAGATGTCATGAGACCAATCAGAAAGCCGTATTAGCATCTTAAGACATTACTTAAGACAGTCTTAAAATAAGAATGGAATGAACCGCCCTTAATAAGTTTTCTATCGAGTTTGAAATCTAATAAGTTTGAAATCGAGTAAAGTACCCGACATACATTTACATATACAGATGATAGAAATATTGTACGACGTATCTGTATCTGACTTATGATATTGATATTCGAATTGAATGTATATGTATACGTTTGTGCTTATGTGGCTATGAAATATTTATTAACAAATCACTGCATCATAACAATAGTATTAAAAAAAGAACGAATAGAACACCTTATTTATATAATTCCCGCAAAACATGCACGCCCACGACATAGGCTATAGCAATTTAAAATGATACCTAATAAGCCTCAATTTCTTCTCATAAAAGTTATAAAAAAATGATAGCCATTATTTATAAATAAGTACATCCTATTAAATATCTAATGATAAAAGCAATCTGAAAGTATAGTAATCATATAGATAGCTTTCACAATCATAAAATATTTAAAAAGGCATATTTAAATAGGCAGAAATTCTAGTTGCAAATTGTTGTTATAAGTTTAGAAAACACGAGGCAAAGCTGGAAGAAGAAATTTGTTGAAAAGTTAAACAAATTATTGTTGAAAGATTAGTGAATGAATTATTGAAAGATAATCAATTCATTTAACGAATTACAGACGTAAGTGCAGAATAGGTACAAGTGATAGAATTACAAAAATCCTCTTGAAAGTGTTGGAGAACGATTAACCTTCGTCTTAGAATCAATCCTTGAAAACGAAATATTATACGGCTGCGTCTAGCATGACATTGCGTCGCGCAGACTCCTAAATCGAAAAACTAGAAACGCTTTGCTACAAGTTGCTCCCTTTCGTACATCTGATTAATTCATGTCTCGAACGATGACTCCAGTCGACACACGCACGGCGTGGTCGGTCGTAGACTAGGTCAAGGAGAATGACTGTTACCTGAAGTCCACCTTCCCCGCTCTTCCTTCCCTTCTCTTTAATGAAAGGCATCCATCAGATGGACGCACGGTAATGCGATTTCCATTGATTGTTCAATTTTTGTTAACGTCAAACCATTACGATCTTTATGATTAGAAAGTCGGAAGAAAAAATAAAAATTTATTTGGACAATAAAATCCCGTTTGGCCGTAAAAATGTCGAAATAATAGTTTTCTTCAATTATAATGGAACTTTTTATTATTGTGTAATGTATGATTATGCTATATTCAATAGTTCGTAAAAGTTGAAGTAATAATTAACGATTGATTATTGTAAATATCACACACAAACGATTATATATACATCTTTTAATCAAAAGATAGTCTTAGTATAAATGCTCTAAGACATACATGAAGAATATTATGTTAAGAAACAATGAATAATATATAAATAAATA